AAAATTTACAGAGACTTTGGGTTTCCATTCATTTACTGTTGTACTTTTCTCCCCCCCTCCCACAATTTCTTTAGCCATTCATTTGTTGATGGTCACTTGGGTTGTTTCCATCTCTTTGCTTTTGTGAACAAAGCAGCAATAAACATAAGTGTGTAAATATCTGCTTGGGTGGCATTTCTGATTTGTTTAGGGTATATTCACAGTGGAATTTCTGGGTCAAATAGTATTTCTATTTCCAGCTTTTTGAGAAAGTGCCATACTACCTTCCAGCGTGACTGAACCATTTTACACTACCACAAACAGTGAATAAGTGTTCCAGTTTCTCCACAACCTTGCCAGCATTTGTTGTTTGTGAATGGGCCATTTTGTAAGTCTACTCCTTTGAATGGGCCATCATCTCACATGTCCCCTCCCATTGTGGCTTACCTCTGGAAATAATCTTCTCAATTTCCTAAGGAATTGTTGGCTTTCCCCTATGTTTCTTTTTTTATTTTTGAAGGCTGCAGTTGGTTGAGTTTTAGCTAGTTTAGTAATTTTTCAAAACTATTTTTTGCATAGACTGGATTACATGATGCGTATGTCCACTAAAGAATCAATTAAAAAAATATCTTACAATCTTACAAACACTAGTATAAATTTTTACCATGAAGAACCTTAGGTAGGACCTTGCCTTGAAAAAGTTAAATATATCTACTTTTTAATCTGGTTTTGTTATTATTAAATAATGAGTCACACTTTTTCTATAAAAGATAATGATAACATGAATTTGATTTTGGAATAAATTTAAGCTCTATAGAGTCATCTCTGGTCTTTTTCTCATTGTCCTAGATTTCACTATGAACAGAAAGTCCTGCAGAAGGTCTTCAAAGAGTGGAAAGAAGAGTGGTGGATTTCCCATCGAGAGTGGAAGCTTTGCATTCGAGCTGATTGTCACTATAGGTCAGCTGTCATGTTACATGACTTCAGTTTTACTGGTTGTTATTGGTGTATGTTGCTGAGTCAGAACTGACTCATAGCTGACTTTCTAGTCAATATTTAGAGGCTTTAAGTCACAGAGAAGGAGATTGCACATCTTTCTCTCATGGAGCAGCTGGTGGATTTGAACTTGTGACTTACGGTTGGCAGAACAACTTCTTACCACTTGGCCACCATTACCAAATAATTCATTGTTGTCTATTTTGTTGGTTTATTGTTGTGGTTTGTTTTTTGTCAAGCAAAGCAAAATTTTGAATCATTGCTTTAAATCTCCTTTAAAATAAGCACAATAAAAATCCTAAATGAAACCTACATCTGCACAGGAACTCAAAGACAAATTGCATTGGGAAAATCTGCTGTCAGAGACCTTTCCAAAGTACTGACAAGCAACGGTGTCAATCTAGAGATTAAGGTGCACCTGATCCAGGCCATAGTCTTCACAATTACTTGCTGTCCATCAGAGATCTGGACAATGAGCGTGGTAGAAGATGAATCGATGCCTTTGAATTGTGGTATTACAGAGGAGTATTGAAAGACAAATTGCATTGGGAAAATCTGCTGTCAGAGACCTTTCCAAAGTACTGACAAGCAACGGTGTCAGTCTAGAGATTAAGGTGCACCTGATCCAGGCCATAGTCTTCACAATTACTTGCTGTGCATCAGAGATCTGGACAATGAGCATGGTAGAAGATGAATCGATGCCTTTGAATTGTGGTGTTACAGAGGAGTATTGAACATATCATGAACTCCCAAGAAAACTAACAGACCCATCCTATAGAGGGTGAAACCAGGCTGCTCCTTGGAGGCAAGGATTTTGAAGCTCCATCTGATATACTTTGGGCATGTTGCCAGGAAAGACCAGTCCTTGGAGAGGAACATCATGCACAAGAGAGGAAGACCCTAGATGAGATGGATTGACTTGATGACTGGGGAAATGAGGCTAGGTGTCTCAGAAATTATGAAATTGGCTCTGGATAGAGCAGGGTTCAGAGCTGTTATATATAGGATCACTGTGACTCGGAATCCATGGCGCATAACAGCAATTCACAATCTTCAGTTCAGGTAAGCATTTTGTAGTGATCATGCTCATTATTTGAATAATTTTTTTCAAACTCTCCTGTTTATATAATTTCTAATTTTTAAAGTATTCAGATTTTTTAAAAATTCAAAGTTCAAAGTTGTTTTAATTAGTAATCTATGAACAACATAGTACATTAGGAAAATTGCCTTTTTTTAAAAAAAAATTCATTTTAATGAAAGTTTACAGAGACTTAAGGTTTCCAGTCATTCATTGTTGTACTTTTCTCCTTAACCACTCCCTCCCCCCCAATTCAGTCTTCTCCTTGAAAAGAAAAACTCTTTCATTGTTATGAAATCCCTCCCCCGAAGTCCATTCCACTATGCAGCCTTCACTCTGGACTTCTGTAATGACAAGAATACCCATTCGTATGTCCCTTTTAAACAGTTCTCTCCCTCATATGTTTCAATGCAATATACATCATTCCTCCCCTCCTTCTATATCTTTCCTCAAACCCGATGTCAGTCTTGTTTTACAAATGTGGCCCTATGCAATATTTGTCCTTTTGTGACAGAGATATTTCACTCAGCATAATGTCCTCCAGGGTCACCCATTTTGTATAATATTTCATGAGTTCCTTGTTTTTCAGTGCTGCCTGGTAGTCTGTTGTGTGAATATACCAGAGCTGCTCTATCCATTTGTTGTTGATAGGTACTTGGGTTGTTTCCAGCTCTTTGCTATTGTGAACAAAGCCTCAATAAACATGGGTGTACATATATCAGCTCAGGTGGCAGTTATGGTTTCTTTAGGGTAAATTCCCAGTTGTGGAATTGCTGGGTCAAAAGCACCACAACAAGATAAAAGTAAATAACCCAGTTGAAAAATGGACACAGGATATGAACAGACACTTCACCGGAGAAGACATTCAGATGCCTAACAAGCATATGAAGAAATGTTCAAAATCCCTAGCTCTAAGAAAGATGCAAATCAAAGCTGATATCATCTCACCCCAGTCAGAATAGCAAAATTTAACAGAACAGCAAACATCAAATGCTGGCAAGGTTGTAGAGAAACTAGAACCCGTATTCACTGTTGGTGGGAGTGTAAAATGGTGCAACCACTATGGAAGGCTATATGACGCTTTCTCAAAAAGTTGTAAATAGAAAATTGTCTTTTTATGACAGTGGCTTCAAAAGCAAAGAAGGGGTGCTCGCTTCGGCAGCACATATACTAAAATTGGAACGATACAGAGAAGATTAGCATGGCCCCTGCGCAAGGATGACACGCAAATTCGTGAAGCGTTCCATATTTTCGACCCTGAAATGAACCAGTCTGTAAAGAAGGCTAACTCCTAACTCCTTTCACCTACAAATTTCGTCTTTGGATACAAAGCTAAGTGGATAGTCCTTACCGAGGGACTGTTTCAAAAAAAGAGGCAGGGAGAAGAAGAGGGGGGGAAAAAAAAAGCAAAGAAGGGAAGCCCTTTCCTCTACTAAAACCAAAGTCAGGCAATAAAGGCCAAGAAAGCAGTCCTGAGGGATCCACAGTCACAAATAAAGAAGATTCACATGTCACCCACTTTCCAGCCGCCTAGGACGTTGAGACTGAAGGCAGCCCACATACCCATGGAAGAGCACCCCCAGGAGAAAGAACGCGTGACCACTGTGCCATCATGAAGTTTCTCCTGACCACTGAGCCAGCTGTGAAGAACACTGAAGATAACATAACAACACAGTTGTGTTCACTGTGGATGTCAAGGCCACAAGCCAAAAAGCACCAAATCAAACTTACTACGGCTAGAAGCTCTATGACATTGATGTGGCCAAGGTCAACACCTTGATTAGGCCTGATTGATAGAAGAAGCCCTGTGTTTGACTTGCTCTTGACTATGATGCTTTGGGTGTTGCCAACAAAATTGGGATTATTTGAACTGAGTTCAGCTGGTTAATTCTAAGTATAAATTTTTCTCAGCAATAAAAAAGAAAATAGGAAAATTACCTCATCCTTGACATTTGCGTTCCCAACGATAAGTGGAGGAAGAAAGTAAAAATCAGTAATTGTGTCAAATACAGATTTTCAGTCTTCTTTTATATTTTTACTTACAGCTTTATATTGTTAATTTTTACTTCTTTGACATCAGATCTTTCTAGTATGTCTTTAAGATAGTACTAACTCATTTATTGTCCCTCCTCTATTTAAGTTGCCTGTGCAATGAGGGGAGCTTTGGTGACATAATTCACACGGAGTTGAGTTGCATAACCCAAAAGCGACTCCTCTCTGGTGATTTCACCACCAGCTCCGTAGGAGGAAGATAGACAATCTCTTATTTGGTTTATTGATCTTGAAAACTCACTGGAGGATCAGCTATGAGTTGGTTCTGATTTGACAGCAATGAGAGTTGTGGCAGGATTTGTGGATGTATCATATAAAGTATAGAAGTATTATTGTTGATTTTTGCTTCTGCTGAATTGGCCCCTGGCTCATGATGTCACTGTGCGAACAGAACAAACTGCTTTCAAGTCGTGTGCCATCCCCATGACTGGACCATTGGCATGCATTGATTTTTTTCCCCCCAGTGTAGATTACTAAATCTGTCTCCATAGTTTGTCTTAGTCTAAAAATTCTGCTGAAGTCTGTTTGGCATCATAACAGCTTGCAAACCTCCACTGACAGACAGAGGGTGGCTTCATGGATGGAATTGACTAGGAATCAAACTTGGGTCTCTTGCCTTAGAGGTGAGAACTCTGCCATGAAGCACTACTACCCTCACAAAAACACTAGGCAATTCTAACGAGCTGGCAGGGTATGCATAATATCTTAGGAAGTAGGATAATAAAGTATGGAGAGACTGAGGATCTTAAATTGTATGGGGTATATATCAAGAAGGAAAAGGAAGATAATGTTTTAGAAAGTGTCTAACCATGTTCAGCACAAAGCAGAGCTAACATTTTGCAAGGTGATTAAGGTATAATTTCAAATGTCTTTGTACTGAACGAGAAGTTACACTTAGAAAACTTCTTTCTCAGTGATGACTTGAGATGATGAGAATGGCTGTCAAGGAGAAGAGTTATTACAATATGATTGTAAAAAATACAGTTTTAGCTTAGGATGCTAGTAAGGTTTTTTTGCATGTTAGGTGTGTTAGAATCTGCAGAAATTGACAAAATGTTCAAGTTTATTAATTCACATATTAACAGGATTCTCCTAAGAGAGATATGTTTGCATTATTAGATTAGACTGTTCGCTTGTTTGAAGGACACACTCTTTGCTCTTGGCTCCTCAGATATTACTTGTACAACCAGATGTTCCAGACCTGGAAGACCTACGTGCTTCAGCAGCGGGAGATGAGGACCAAGTACACGAGAGCTGAGGATTATGGTGAGAAAAGGAGATGCTCTCTAGAGAAGAATCCCAAATGCTCATTAGCAGAAGTCCTGGAGGACAAGCCCATTGGTTTGGTTCCTGTTTTCCAGGAGATGTGACACTCTGAGTGGGGGCTCCTGTGTAATCAGGTCCCTCTAGTTTTCTCTGTATGGCATGATGAGCGCTTGACCCTATTCTTGTCGAGGGTTTACGTGAATTGTCTGTTCCTGCACTCGGGGCACTGGCATCAGGTGCTGCCATTTATTTTACTGTCATATTAACTCTGGTGGCCTAGTGGTAAGAAGCTGCGCTGGAATCCCAAAGGCACGTGGTTCAAGGCCACCAGCTGCTCCATGGGAGAAAGATGGGCAGTATCCTCCCATGGGATTAACTGCCTCCAAAAACCAGCTGGAGGGTAAGCTCAATGGTACACAACAACAACATGGCACATGTAAGTGGGGCCTGGAGCATTGCTGTAGGACTCTTGTGAGCTACTTTGCCCACATTGTACACCTCAGTGATCCTATGGCCTTTTCCACTCTGGTTGATTTCTGGTGTCTCTGTGAGTTGAGACAGAAACTTGTGTGGAGAGTGGAAGGAGAAAAGATTGAGTTTTGAAATGCCAATGCAGCCTGGGTTACCTCACAGATGTTCCCTAGAAATGCCCTGTAGGCCCTTCTGATGCAGTTCCCCCAGTATTTAGACCTCTTACTCCTGCTTTTGCTAGGTATCAAGCCTTTTATAGATATGACTTGTCATGCCTTGTACCTTTTAGCTTTCTGATATGGCCTCTGAAGTGTAGCTAAGGCATCTTTTCTCTAGTCCCATTGACACTGCTTAAGATTCATACCCATCTTTTCCTCAGCGTTATGTCTCTTGATGTCCCTGCATTTATTTTTTTCTTCCATCTTCTTGTACACCAGAATGAGAAGACAGATAAGATCATCTTTACTGAACGGAATGACATTCAACCCTCTGGCATGGCACACAAGGTCTCACCTACCCTTCCCATACACATCATGCCTTCCCATACACTCTGCACCACCTTTGCCACACTGGACATTAACTCTGTCTTTTCTGTCTTTGCCTTTGTGGTTCTTCATTTAGGCCTGTTTTCAATATCCACTCTTTTTGTGCAGTTTCCCATGCTGTCTCCTATCATGGTAGGCCGATCCACTTTTGTTACAGCACCTTAGTTATAGCACCAGACAAACATTATCTCCATAATTAGCAGGTAAGTCACTTTTTTTCTTTTTTAGAAAAAGGTTGACATTTCCCCACTTAACTGATTTTATCTCCTTGTCAAAAATCAGTTGACCATAGGTAGATGGGCTGATTTCTGGATTCTCAACTCTATTCCATTAATCTATATGTCTGTCATTGTACCAGTACCACTCTGTCTTAACCACCATGGCAGTGTAGTAGGATTTGAAATCAGGGAGTGAGATGCCTCCTACCTTGTTTCTCTTTTTAAGGAGTGCTTTGCTTATTCTGGGCCTCTATCCATTCCAAATTATACTGGAGATTGCCTTTCCCATCTCATTGAAGAATAGAATTGTTACTTGTATTGGGATTGCACTGAACGTGTAAATTGCCTTTGGTAGTATTGTCATTTTCACAATATTGAGTCTTCCTATCCATGAACAAGGGATATTTGTCCAACTCTCCAGGTCTCTTTTTGTTTCTTCTAATAATGTCTTGTAGTTTTCTTTGAATACTGAAGGAGCCAGAGGGTTAATAAAGAAACAGTCTGCACAAAGATGTCTCTTTGGCCTTCCTCAGTCCAGATGGGGTGTGGGAGAGGAATATGTCCTTGAGTCTGCATACAGATGGGAACCTTGGGCTCTTGCATACAAGGTCTGAGACTATTCCTCTTTCTAAAGTGTAGTCTTATCCCTTCTGGTAAACAGAGAAATGGAAGCAAGAAAGATTCCACGAGAATATTCTGTGCTAAGCAAGTCTAAACAAGTGCCTGCACGTAGACGGTTTTTGGATGATAATAAAATAATAAATGAGCCAGGCCTAAGGGTCTGCAGTTCTTGTCCCATCTCTGTGTGTTTCTTTGCTGCAGTCCTGTCTTGTCTTCTGTCTGTGTCTGTCTCTTTATGTTATTTCTCCCAGGAAAAAGGGTTGCGGATTGCAACAGAATACATCCTTTGTGCTTCTGGTTATGTTTACTCTTGAGTATTTAATCTTGTGATTAGCTATTGTGAAGGGTATTGTTTTTCTGAGCTCTAATTCTGTATTCTCTTTGTCACTGTAGAGAAATTCAATTGATTTTTGTATGTTGATCTTGTATCCTGCCACTTTGCTGAATTGGTCAACTATGTCCAATAGTTTTTTTGCTGAGTCTTTAGGGTTTTCTAAGTATACTGTTATATCATATGCATAGAGAGATAATTTTACCTCCTCTTTGCCGATTTGGATACCTCTTATTTCCTTCTCTTGCCTTATTACTATTACTAAGACTTCCAATACAGTATTGGATAGGAGAGGTGATAGTGGGCATCCTTGCCTACTTCCTGTTCTCAAGGGGAATGCCTTTAATCTCTCTTCATTGAGAACAATGTTGGCTCTTGGGTTTACATATGTACTCTTTACTATGTTGAAAAAATTCCCCTCTAATCCTATTTTGTTGAGTGTTTTAATCAGGAAAGGGTGTTGGATTTTGTCAAAGGCCTTTTCTGCATCAGTTGATAGAATCATGTGGTTCTTGTTCTTTGTTTTGTTAATGTGATGAATTACGTTGATTGTTTTTTTTATGTTGAATCATCCTTGCATACCTGTTATGAATCCCACTTGGTCATGGTGAGTTCTTTTTTTGATATATCGTTGGATTCTATTGGCCAGGATTTTATTCAGAATTTTTGCTTCTATTTTCTTTTCTTTTTTTTTTTTTTGTGCATCTATTTTCATGAGAGATACTGGCTTATAGTTTTCTGTTTTGGTTCTGTCTTTACCTGGCTTTGGTATCAAGTATATGTTTGCTTCATAGAATGAGTCTGGGAGAATTCCATCTTTTTCTATTTTCTGAAATAGTTTATGTAGAATTGGTGACAGTTCTCTGAATGATAAAATTCACTTGTAAAGCCATCTGGTCCAGGACTTTTTTTGGCTGAAATTTGTTTTATTACCTTTGCAATTTCTCTTTTGTAATGGGTTTGTTCAGTTCATATTTGGTTGGTGTCTGTTTGGATAGGTTGTGAATTTCTAAGTATTTGTCCAGTTCCTCTAAGTTTTCATATTTGTTTGAGTATAATTTTTCAGTTTCCAGTGTTAGCTTTTTTATTTTAGTTGGTTCTGTTGTGATGTTGCCCATTTCATCTCTTATTCTGTTTCAATGCAGTATACATTACTTATCCCATCTTTCTCAGTCTCCCCTCAACCCCGATGTCAGTCCCGTTTTATAAGTGGTACTGTGCAGTATTTGTCCTTTTGTGACTGAGATATTTCACTCAGCATAATGTCCTCCAGGGTCACCCATTTTGTATAATATTTCATGAGTTCCTTGTTTTTCAGTGCTTCATAGTATTCCATTGTGCGAATATACCACAGCTTCTCTATCCATTCGTTTGTTGATGGGTACTTAGGTTGTTTCCAACTCCTTGCTATTGTGAACAAAACTGCGATAAACATGGGTGTGCATCAAATGGCATTTCTATTTGCACCTTTTTGAGAAAGCACCATATAGCCTTCCATAGTGGTTGCACCATTTTACACTCCCACCAACGGTGAATAAGTGTTCCAGTTTCTCTGCAACCTCACCAGCATTTGTTGTTTGCTGTTCTGTTAAATTTTGCTATTCTTACTGGGGTGAGATGATATCTCATAGTTGTTTTGATTTGCATCTCTCTTAGAGCTAAGGATTTTGAACATATCTTCTTGTGTTTGTCCTCTGAATGTCTTCTTTGGTGAAGTGTCTCTTCATATCCTGTGGCCATTTTTCTATTGGATTATTTACTTTTATCTTGTTGTGGTGCTCAGGTATTTTACAAATTCTAGATAAAAGTCCATTATCTGACATGTCATTACCAAATAATTTTTCCCCAGTCTGTGGCTTCCCTTCTAGCCCTGTTGGAGAAGTTTTTGGATGTGCATAGGGATTTGATTCTTAGTGTTTTTCACTCTTGCTCACTATAACTGAACATTAGAAATTTTAAAGATCTTTTCAAATAACCAGTTTCTTCACTGATATCTCTCTCTTTATATTAAATTTTTACCATTTCTGTTTCAATCTTTGTTGTTATCTTGTTTCTACAAATACTGGCTTTAATGAACTTTTTTTTCTTTTTAGTTCTTTAAGATATAAACAGATTACTTATTTGAGGCTTTTCTCTTTTCTCTATCATAAACATTCACTGCTTAAATTTTCTTTTAAGCACTGTTTTAACTGCATCCCACCAATTTTAGCATGTTTTATTTTAGTATAAAAAATATTTCTTGAGGCATTCTTTTTGACCTTTCGATTATTTAGACATGTGTTGTTTAACTTTCTTTTACTTAGGGATTTTTCCAGTGTTTCTCTATTGATTTCTAGTTTATTTGACTCTGATTAGAACATAATAATGAATATTATTTCAGTTCTTTTACATTTGTTAAGGTTTATTTTATGGACCAGAATGTAGTCTATTTTGTGAATGTTCTGCGTGTAGTTGGAAGCAATTTGTATACTGCTGTCCTGTATTTTTAATTTAATTGGTTTTTTAACATTTTTAAATTTTATTTTATTATTTTTAGTGAACATTTACAGAGATTTTGGATTTCCATTCAGTTTTTAACATTTTTTTAAAATTTTTGCACATTTTCCTCTCTTCCTTGCCCCTCTCCCAGCATCTCTTGCAATGCACTCCTTGCTCCAGATTGCTGTCATTATAATGACTAATCATATATTCCTTTTGGACAGCTCTTCCCCTCGTCTGTTCTAATGCAGTGTTAATTATCTATCCACTTTTTCCCCCATTCTCTCCTCAGTCCCCCCATGTCTGCCCAATTTTATAACAGCGTTGTTAAACAGTGTTTGTCCTTTTGTGGTCAAGATATCAGCTTAATGTCCTCAAGGCACCCCTGTGTTGTATAATGTTTTATAAGTTCATTGTTTTTCAGTGCTTCATAACATTCCATTGTTTGAATGTATCCATTCATTTGTTGATGGGCAGTTGGGTTGCTTCTGTCTTTTTGCTGTTGTGAATAATGCAGCAGTAAACATGGGTGTGCATACATTTGTTTGAGTCGTAGCTCTGGTTTCTTTACGTATATTTCCAGTAGTGGAATTGCTGGATAAGATGGTACTTCTATTTCCAACTTTATGAGAAAGCACCAGACTAGTTTCCATAGTGGTTGTACTGTTTTATACTCCCACCAGGAGTGAATAAGGGTTCCGATCTCTCCACAACCCAGCCAGCATTTGTTGTTTTCTGCTCTATTTGTTGAATTTTGCTGTTGTTGCTGGGGTGAGTTCAGATAGTTGTTTTGACTTACATCTCTCTGAAAGCTAGGGATTTTGAACATTTCTTCATTTGTTTGTTTGCCATCTGAATGTCCTTTTTATCCTGTGCCCATTTTCTGATTGAATTGTTTACTTTTTTCTTGTTGAGGCATTGGAGCATTCTATAGATTTTGTATATAAATCCATTATCACATCTGTGCTTGCTAAATATTTTCCCAGTCTGTGAGTTTCCTTCTTACCCTGTTGGAAAGTTTTTTTGATGTGCATAGCGATTTGATTCTTAGAACGTCCCATTAGTCTATTTTGTTCTCTCCTGGTTACATGTTTATTATGCTTGGAAGACTGTTCATACCATGGTTTAGGGCTTCTGAGGTTGCTCCTAGCTTTTCTCTGATGAATTTTGTCATCTTTGGTTTTACTTCTAGGTTCTTGAGTTGGTTTTTGCATATGGTGAGGTGTAGGTCTTGCTCAAATTTTCTGCAGATGGTTTTCCAATTATGCCAATGCCAATTTTTAAAGGGACTGTCGGACAGCTATATTATGAAAGTAAGCTGAATTGTTAAGAGAGAGTGTTACTCTTCTGGACATATGACAGCTGTGCCAGGCTGTGTCTGGAGGTACTTTTCCTAGGTTATCTCACTTACGCTTTACAGACACACCTCTAATGGAAGTCCTGTTTGACATATGATGAACCTGTGTGAGGTTACTTAACCAGTAAGTGACAGGACTGGTTTTCAAACCCAGCTTTCCTGACTCAGCAGCCCAGACTCTCAGTCATAGCACCGTTCTCATCCTCAGTGCCCTGAGGTCTGCTTGTTAAACTCTTCTTTGAATTTTTATTTGACTGTGAAATATTAGGGAGCTCTGTTGGCCTAGTGGTGCTGCAATCCCTAAGGCACACAGTTTGAGGCCACCAGCTGCTCTGCAGGAGAAGGATAGACAATCTCATCCTCTGTGGTTAATTGCCTCTGAAAACCTGCCAGAGGCTCAGCTGTGGATTAGTACCAGCTCTCGGGTACACAATGACGATGAACTATCAAAGTCGTTGCTGTCCAGTCTAAACCAACTTATAGCTGGCCTCCTTTTGAGTTTTTGAGGCTGTAAATCACACAGGAGGAGATGGCATATCTTTCTCCCTTGGAGCTCAATAAGTAAAAACCTATTTATACTCCTGTTAACATTTTGGAGAATGCCTTGAAAATGAATGACATAATTTCAATTTTCCTTTGTGTTCTAAAAAGAAAGAAAATGTACTCCATTATTGGTGATTATCATACAGTGGAATTTGCCAGAAATGCATCTCTTGTATCTAATATCTGTTCTCTCTTTCAAGATCTTTCAAAATGTCCTTTGTTATCCACCAGGCACAGCTCTTCTTTTTGTCTCACTTACCCTACTTTATAATTGTTGTTGTGTACCATCGAGTCAGAACCGACCCATAGCTGATGCTCCAGCGGGTTTTCAGAGGCGGTTAATCGCACGAGAGAAGATTGCCCATCCTTCTCCCACAGAGCATCTGATGGTCTAGAACTGTGTGCCTTCGGGGTATGTGGTTGTTTCTGATATGATAGAAAAGTTGTTTCTGATATGATATGATATGATATGA